GGAACGGATTTTGTTCCATATACACAGTTTTAAGCTGTCATGAAAACAATTTACATTTATAAGTGCAATACAGGCTTTTTTGTAAGGAATTATTTTCCTCTACTTCCATTTGTAAAACGACTCGTGGGAGGTTTTACACTTTATTTTTAATATTTCAACATTATAACTACATACATTTAATTTTGTGTATTCTATATTTCCTTTAGATACTAAAAATTAAAAAAAAAAACATCTATACACATTTTTGTCCAACAATATATATTTTACAATTGATTAAGAATTTGCTTTACACATTTTACAATGAAAGTCAAGTAATAAATGCATGATGAAAATTATTCGTAGTAATTGAATAAAGGAATAATTATTTAATTAAATAATACTAATGGTATTTTTTTTTTTTTGAGTACTTAAAATGGGAAAAGTATGATCAAAAAGTCTATAGTGAACCAGTAAAATTGATGTACAATTTAGTTAAAAAAACTCCAATTTATAAATCTATGTCTTGTCACTTAGGTTAAACGAACCAATGTCATTTTTTGTTGAAATGAGACAAACTACTAAAATGTAATTAAGGAATGGGGCTCAAAATATATGAAGAATCCATATTGAATGCAATTAAAAAAAAACTACTGCTACAAAACATATATACTTCTGAATGTTTATTGAAAAGAATAATTTTGATCACATATTATACTTATTTCTCAAGTGCATATCACACATATTTGTGATACAAATACATATTTTTAATTTCCTAATGCACAATCAGATTCCTGAATGTCATGGACGGATAATAGAAAGAAATTGGACAGGCATGTCGTTAATAAAACTACATTCAGGACTGCGATTGATGAGGTTAAATGTAGAAAAAAATGTATTTGTTTAGAGGCAAAAAAGTATAATTGTTATTTTTATATAGAGAAAACAGAAATTAATTATTGTGTTAAATGTTTTTATTAATACCTTTTATGGAATTGACCTGAAAAGATAGTTTGGATCTTTCAACGAATTGGGAGATCATATAATATCATCATAATATAATATGTATCATAGTTGCAAATACTAAATAGTTTAAAATTGTGTCAGATGTCTTAATGTTACAATAATAAACATCTATTCTGGATGATTCAGGATGTATTTATTTTATTTTATTATTTATTTATGCGTTATTACATTATATGCGATAAAAATTAATATTAATCAATAATATTGGATAAGTTGGTAATGTCATTTTTTTTCGGTATATTTTATTACGCAATAACTAATAGTATTATTCATTGTTTCGATATGATATTGAACAATATATTATAGCACACGACCTTTTGGCCATTAAGTCAAGCGATTTGGTGATCAAGGTTGTGCTCTTATTTTGCACGTGCACGTTCCATGATGGTATTGGCGTTTCTGGTGTACTATAATAGTATTTAATATTAACCGAAAAATAGTCAATAGTATTTTATTGCCTAGGTACCAACGAACTTGTGTCAAAACTGTTTTTAAATGCACAAACAATTTTATTGATACGTTATTAATTATTGACCATTGACCTATGCAGGAAGCTCTTTACATAGTTTTTTAATTGAGTGTTGAATAAATTGGATGATCGTAAAATTAAGGGTTTATAATTAACGATAAAAAATATTACACTACAATAACTTATCGTCAATAATAATAATATGTAATTATGCAATGCTAATTTTGTGTAATATTATTATTATTGGTTTATCATGGATAAACTGCACATTACGCTTATAACAAGCGGTCTGTTTACAATAAATAATCTATGAAAATTGTACAGGATTCATAAAATAATTAAATATTGGATGATGATAAAATTAAAATTATTATTTGTTAAAATCGATAAAAAATATTGCACAACAACAATTAATTGCCTGGAATAAAATGTATTGAAGGAGTTAACAATTCAAAAGTATTAACATTGACATAATCAAAGGACATTTTTTTCGACAATGATCTTGCATTTATTGAATATTACATTGTACTAAATATCTTGTAATACACGATTTTTGATTATTAAGTCTGGTCATTTGGGAATGACGGCTGTGTTCTTATTTTGCATGTGAACGTGCCATTTAGGGCAGTAGTAGTGGCGTACTACGGGTCTAGAATAATATTATAATATTCAACTTATACCGATCAATAGTACTCGTTTTCTTTTTAGTATTTGTGTGCTAATACATTTTTATCAGAACTATTTTTCAATTTTATTTACAGTTAATATTGTTGATACGGTATTTTTGATGGAACATTTTGATCAATGATCTTTACTTGGTTTTACATTTAATTGGGCGTTAATGTACATTCACTAATAATATAGATATAATATAAAATTGATAAAAAAATCAAATTAAACACTCAACGTTATACTATTATTAGAAAAGAATTTATATCGTTATTACCAAATTTATAATTATGTATTTTGTCCGCATATCTAGAAGTAAAGAGGCCCCCAAAAAGGGTATTGGCCCAAGAGTAAGACATTTTAAAATGGCGCTTGCACTCTTATTGTGTACGTGCACATGCCCTTAAGGGCAGTGGGGACATACGCCGATTCTGGTATAATATAATATAAACAAATATTCAGCTGAATACCGATCAATAGTACTTATTTTATTAGTACTAATTAATTTGTATCAAAAATATTTTTCAAATTTATTTACAGACAATATTACTAATGTGGTATTTCTGATTGGTCAAAATGACCAATGCTCTTTACATAATTTAAATTAAACGTTAATATGCCATTCAGCTATGTTGAGACAAAGCAATTGAAATTATTTTTATTTTTCTCAATATATACAAATATTTTAAATTATTTGTTTTAACTTTTAGTTACGCATACACACATTTAAATGTTTTTTGTTTACCTAATTACACAACAATCTGCACGCGCATTGTTATGATATGTTCAATATTATTTTTAAATTAATAAACTAAACCTATAGGTTTTTTATATTAGAACAATAAAGGAGACGTTACACAACATTTAATGACTTAGTCTGACAATTTCGGAATCACTGCTGCGCTTTTATATTGCACGTGTACATAATGAGTGCTTTTGCGATTAGCTTTTTATATTTTATGCCAAGTTCAAAACAACAGTGACCGGATGGAAAGAAATTTATCATCGAGTCACTATAGTTTCGAACGAGGAGTTTAGTCGGTAAAATTTCAATACTACACAGTTATAGTAGACTTAACTTTAACGTATGACACGTGCAACCGATTGTGGAAATCCTACACGATTGGTGTTTCCAATAAACATGATACAACAATCTGATGGAATTCTGCTGTTATTCGATTGCATTGTAATGTGTTGTACGCGAGACGTGACCTGGAAACCTGCGTGGCATGGCGTTTAATAACGTGCTTATTTTTTTCTTCTCAGACAGCCAAAAAAAAAAAAAAAAACGCTCAAAATTTCATTTTGGAACAATGTGTATGTTCAGCTGCACGTGAACCATCGCCGTAGTGTATATAGCTTTATCATGGTTTATATACACATGTGAATTTGTGTAGATACCTTTCGTGTAATTTTTCATATGTGAGTGACAGCTGGGTGTTTGAACAAGATACAATACCCGATGAAGGGCTCAATTGAGAGTGGAAAAACATTTTCACCCTCTAGCGCAGCACGCCGGTGGCGGGTGGTGAAACATAATACTTCTAAAAGCTCTGTATAGCACTAAAAGAAAAGGTAATAGTACGTTTCGACGTCTTATATAAAGTGTAAAACGCAAGATATTTATTTAAGTTACCGGCGCTGTAAGATAATACATTTAGCTTCGACGCTGAGACGGTATCTTTTTTACAATCATGCGTTTTTTAAGGGTTTTTTTTTATGTCTAGATCACTACATCATTTCTCTCTTTTGAACCCGGTTTTTTTATGTGCCAAGCCTATAGATCAGAAATCGTACCTGAAAGGCATTTTGGTAGGCCAAACATTTAAAAAGATCACCACGTCCCTGTCAAAAACCGAAAAACACGACCAAACAATTTACATAAAATAATATTTCAGCCTAGAATTATGGCACGCTATAAAATTTAAAAAAAACCCTAGGATTTGCTCCGAATTTCTACAGAGTATTCTTAAGATAATGTACTATCAATAAACGTTGATAAATAAAAAAATATCACAAACCCTGTAAAAACTTTTCTTTACATCTCTTTTTTGAGCAAACTTTTAGGACTTAAGGTCTGAAAATTAAACCGAAGGTTCATAGGTTGGGGTGGGGCTATAACATTTATGATTTAGTCAACATTTTGGTTTTTATTAAGGAAAAACAATAAAGGGGAAAATCACACTTTGGCCGTTGTAAATTTCAGGATTGCTATGAGAGAGTTAAAAAGTATCTTAAAAATAATTGTATTATATTGGTGATAAGATGTTGCCTATTGGTAACAATGGAAACTAACTTATCCTAATCTAACTTAACAGACAATATTGTATTGAAATACAATTGTAAGATTATTATTGCCTTTTTAATGATTTTTATTCATATTGAATATTTGTACTATCTACAGATTCGCACCGAAGCGTTTTTATTTAGAATGATTTTTCATCACTTTCAGCTATAATAATTTTTGGAGACCTGTGATCTCCCCTGTCCTCACTATGCCCCAACTCAAATGTACTGGTTTTATTTTATCGGGGATCGTGATGTACCTATTCCTTTAAATATAGTAATAATGAAATTTTCACGCAAATTGAGTATTTAAAAAAAAAATGTTACTTATGTACAAACTGTAAATTGTTAGACGTTTTACAATAAGCACAATTCATGATTATTAGTTGTATAATGACAGTTGATTCGTTTGAAGATACTGTTTATTAATATAACACCATGTATTCAGGGATGGAGGGGCTTCAGTTCCTTATGTACTTAAATTGTGTGCATTAAAAGTGTTTTATATTTATTTTTTATAATATAATATATTAAAATATATACATTTTTTTTACTATGTAAAATGTGTCTTAAACTTTATGACTATTGCTTGTATGTATTTTAAGGGACTTTGTTTCCAGTTTCTCCTTTTTTTCATTCCTAGATCTGCTACTGCATGTATTGAGTGTAATATTGTTACAACAGAAACGGCGTCCAAAAACGTTATAGAACACATAACTAAAACATGACATATTCGAGTGAAGTGGAGAGTAGAGGGTTAAGCAACAGTTTAATAAATAGTAGGAAACTCGAAGAATTTTGAAGTAAGTTAGGAATCTCCGATGTCGCTTTCAACTTGGTACATATACAAGCAACACAAAAGGCTATTCCGGTGTCAAGCCTAAGGTTCTAACAGTTTTGTCTTGTTCGTCGTATCCTGGCGCACACCGAGGGAATTTCTGGAAAACAATAGAAACTATAATTAATTATAAACAGCGAGAAAAATGTTTCTATTTTGTATTTTCAGTAAACACGTAAATCTAGGTGATTGCAATCGATGACAGTTTGATTTTAAATAAATTGAATCAACGATTTATTTTATGTATTATTTACAATAAAAAAATATTGAACATACGATATTATGTCTGATCTCACATAGCTTTGGTTTAGAGCAAAAGGGGGTGGAATGTCTCGGCCAGAAATGTTTGGATGTACAATGAAAAATAATTAAACTGAAAACTAAATGAGAGAGCTCTGTAGTAAAAGATAAACCCGGAAGTTACACAATGGGATTACGGCTTATACCAGCATCCAAAAAGAGAGATAAAATTGTAATTCAGCGGTAGTGTTGGGAGATAGACTTATATATATACTGAGCTTTTATTAAGCTGCAGGAGAACTGAACACATAAATACATGTTATTCTAAAGGCTAATATCTGTTTTGAAATTTCACGAGAACGTGCCCGACTTATATTTTATAATGTAACCGTATATTATTAACAATTAACGTCATCCGAATCTGCTGAAAAACTTTCATGTTAAAAGACGCAACACCTGTTCGATACAAAGGCGAGCTTCTTAAAATCGTAACCCAATCACATTGCAGTACTTGAGTTAGTTAATGCATAACAACAATATTATGATTAGGAGGCATATTATACTGTGTAATTATCGCCTGTACAATCGCTTTGTGGTTTTGGTATTTCGTTGATTCGATAAACTCAAAGCCCGGCGTAGTGTATTGTAATCTGTACAACGACGTGCACCGTTTTTGTGCCATCTTTGATTATGAGAAAATGAAATTGCGCTTGGTTGATATTTTCTTTTTTTCCGTGCCCGTCTATCCCCAGGGATTGGTAGGAACATTGGCAATTTTATGTACGGTTCGTCGACCGAGACGTTTCTCAGTTTTTGACGATTTTTTCAGTTTTTTTGTCTACACAACAGATTACCATAAACCCAAATTACGATCCAAAATGTTTCTCTATTTCGACGCGGGTAACGCGTTGGCCGATGTTATGTTCGAGTTTCAAATCTTCTAACGAGAACACGGATTTCGCATTTCCTTTAATCCGTGTACACAAACACATGCGCGTTACCCGTGTATAATAATATTATACCTACACTTAAAACGAAATCCGGTGATAATATTATTATTGTAATATATTGCGATCACGGACGCGAACGCCGGGAATACTTAACGAGACGAGCAACTACATCCTATATACTGTGCTAGAGGAATGATAACTGCATAGGGCTGCGTGTGAACCCACAGAAATTCGACTATATTATATTATATTTTTGGTAATGATAAAATAAAAAAAGCCGTGTACAGCGGGGTGGGGGCATAGTGGATACGGAGCATGTGATCTCCTACGCCCCAGGTCACATAGGTTTACAGGAATAACTGAAAGTGATAAAGGACTGTGAAGTAATATATTGTTTTAGTTTGTTTGTTTTGCACATTTTTATTTTAGTTTGAGGTGCTCAATCAGCCCATGTCCTCATAAGTAATTTGCAATATAATTGTTTTTAAATAGTGTTTTATTAATCAGAATATGCAACAGGGTTTGTCGGCGCAGTGGGAACCGTTTATAACGATATCCGAGGTATCAGCAGTTTTTTTTTTGAAGTGTTATCTAAAAATTAATTCCAAAAACCTTTTTCAGCCGAGTCTGCAGCCACGAAAGAGCATATTTTCATGTATCTAAGATTGCTAGTAAACATGTCAAGTTTCTGGATAACATTTTAGTGTTTAATATCTGGCTTAAAACAATTCATAGAGAATTTGGGCACTTAAACTATTTTGAATTTATCATTTAGTTCTAATCTGAACGTACAACATATCTCTTATCTCTTATCAAATAACAGCGTAACGCTTTTTTGGGAACACTAAAACATTCCCATCCCCATTCTCACTCCCACCTCAACCCACTTTGTGTCTGAAAAACTAGAACTAATTTCATTATATACTTAATTTAATACATATTAAATTTTTTAATATCCTACAAATAGCAATATTGTCAATAAAACCCCAAAAATTATGCACTGGTGAATTTCATTTGAAGTCATCATCATCATCATCACTTTGTTCACTTATACAGCAAAAATTTTTTAATGTTTTCAAAATGTTGACGAACACGTTTGAGTTATGTTGTAAAGACATTTTTTCGTTGTTATCAATGTTTTTCTCAAATTTGAAGGGAAAGGATGACATTTTTAAATATTTGTCTTTATAAAGTACATTCCATCTGATCTGTAAACCGGCTACATGAAGAAATTGGTTCAAAAATATTTCAAATAATGCCCAGGTTTTATCTGTAGCTAAACTACGCTTTTTATACCTATTAGGTATAAGCTATATGGTATTTACTATTATCTTAAAATCGAACATTACATCATTAAATTATTTGAATTTGACATGAAACATGCCTGATCGAGTGAAACGGCGTCGAGTGTAGACTAATTTAGCTACATAAAATAATAGTGTGTGTTAGGGCATCTACATATTTTTTTCGAATGAACTAATCAACTTAACTAAGAATTTAGGAGAATCGACAGTAAGATATATTTTTGTTTGGTCGCATATTTAACAAATTTTTGTAGATTAAACACCGCAAGTATACAAACAATGCACTAAATAATTTTTATTATGTTTTCTTATTGTTTCCCGTTCTTCCTTCTCTTAACTTCTTAAATTCTTGAATTATTTTCCACCTTTATTCGTCCATTGATTCTTTAATTTTTATAACCGGTATTTTCCACGTATAGTTGTATAGTTATATATATACAGAACACCGCAAAAGGACACGTACGAGTATGCGTTTTAATTATCAATATCGATTGAAATTAAAAGCTTTTTGACGTTTTTAGAACAACAATAATAATTCGGTTTTTTAATTATTATCAGCTATAAACCGGCGATTGCATTTTGGTAGGCAAAATGCGAACAATGGAAATTCGCATTGTACAACAGCATTACTAACGCCATGGCGGTTATTATGAAATGTACCTAATTTATGTAAAGAGGTGTTCGCCATTAGTAAACGTTCCATCGTGTTTGTACGTATTATTTAATATCGGTTAGCTTTTGGAATTTGGTCTACGATCAACAACAATGATTGGTGGCAACAACACAGGCGAGGCGGTTCGATTGAGTGTAAACCCCAAAACTAACCATACCGAAAACCCTTCAACAGACGTCCTGGTATTTATTATTAATCACGAGACAACGTTTGTCAGGGTTGGTGTTTTTTAGCTTCAATGCGGCGCTGAAAAGGTATATTGTTTTTACAATGATGTGTTTAACCTAACCATTTTTTTCATGTAACAAGTCTGTACATCAGAAATCGTACCTGCAAAGTACTTAATTGGACCGAAAACTAAAAAAAATTACCAATTCTTTTTTAAAATCGAGAAAAACACCCAAAAAGTTAAAATAATTTTTAGATTAAATATTTAGCGCGCTATAACTTAAAAAACAGTCCAATAGTTTCAAATTAGAATGGTACTTTTTTTAAGATAAAGGACTATCGATAAACGTTAAAGGCATTTTTACCTTTACAATATTATATTGATCGAGATTTAGTACTTACACAACAATGGCAACACATTATTATAGACAAACTATCAAATAACCACTATCAACTAACAATAGCCGTGTCCTTCCTTATACCCGAAGTATAGTTTTTAAGCTCATTATTTTTATGTTTCTACCATCTACAGACTTGCATCGAAGCGCTTTTATCACTTTTTTACTTCACGCTTCACCGCCCAATATGACATTTTAGAAATATATAATAATTGCTATGTGGATAATTCATACTAAAATGTAAAATCATCAAAAATGTTGTATAAAAAAAAAAATTGATGTGCGCAAAGGTAGAACCGACTATAATTTATTGATCTGAAAAAACGTGACAATCCGAATGTAAGAAATATGAAAAATAGCTAAACCGAAACGACCGTTCAAATGTTTTGACAACAAATTGGGACAAGCGTCTACTCTCCTGCCACTTAAATTGACAAATCTAAACTTATTAACGACCTAGATATTCCACACATAAAATAAATCCTATTTTCCGCCCTTGTTCCATTAATATATTCCTGTCGAGATTTCGCTGCTCTGTCTTAGCGTCGTAAGTTGCAGTAAGTTTATCTTATCTTTAATGAATCACTCTATACATATATATATATATATTTTTTTTTTTTTCTAATTCTATTTAAAAATATATCCAACTTTGGAACCAATGTTTATATACTGACGTACATAAAAATGTTTTCAACTCTATGTTATATTTTAAGATATATATTTATAGCAAAAAGCTGTTTGTAGAACTTATCTTTTTTAATGTAAATTTTGTATTATTCTTGATGTGAAACTCACTTATGGGTTCTGCGTCGTAAAAAAGGCAAGTGTTTACAACAAATATTATGGTCTACGTTTTTAATGTTTTTACCATACAGGCTAATAATTAGTTCCTTTCTATTTCGTTGCCTTAGAAACAAGACCTATTGTAGAACTATACTCGGTGCACTGATATGATACAACGTTTTAAAGAAAAATAAATTCCGGGTAAGAAATTCTGATTCGAGGTCGTGCCAGTAAAGCAGTTTGAAAGCTAAAGTTGTCGAGTTTCGACAATATTTCTCATGTGGCTTTCTTTTCGGCATACCGTTGCCCTTTGGGCTTTATTGCTAGGTTATTTGTGTAAATTTGCAAAAAAAATAATAATAGTTAAAATCTGTGTGCTAATTTATCGACACTTAGAGTAACGTCAGTTATTGGCCCGGAATGTTTTCGACTGCATTTTTAATAACTTAGCTGACCGCAGGTTTAAATTATATTAATTACATTAATCGCATTAAACTAATTAAGTCTATAAGTAAGCAAGTCTTTCGGTATCATCTCGGGGTTAAAATGAAGTTTTTATAATTAAAAAGATCACCATCGTTTAT